CCCCCTGCCGGCCCGCCCGGCGCCGCAGCCGCCGCGGGCTGAGGGGACCTGGGGGAGCCTGGAGCGACCCGCGGGGAGCCGGGATTTACTGCGGGATACTGTGAGGATTGGCATGGACCTGGGCGCTGCTCTGCTGGCCTGGGGGTGCTCATTGGACCTGGGAGGAGGGCGGTCATGCTGGGTGCCCCTTCAGGAGAACAGACCCTTGCAGTGAATTGCGGACTGCAATGAGCCCCCCAGAGCCTGCACTGGAGGCATGCAGGGCTGTGAGGGGACTCAGCGCCTGTCTCCATAGCACAACTGGCCTCTCCATTGCAGGACCAGCCCCCCGGCGGTGACAGCACCGCGCCGGAGCTCCCCTCGGGGCCGGGCAGCCAGTGCGACAGCCCCAAGCAGGACAGCCCGCCGCTCCCCGTGCCCTCCGTGGTGAAGGTAACGTCCGCAGGGACAAGGGAACGAGCCCAGGGTACAGGGCTGGGTCCAGGACTGAGCGACCCTCACGTGGCTGGGAGTTTTGCAGGTTGGGCCTTTAAGGCCTAGTATAATGTAGGGAGACAACTGCATCATCACGTGCTGCCAGTTGGCCCCATTTTGTAATTATATAAAGTTATAACATTGCACTCTGTGAGAGACAGTTGCTCAGGTTCTGCATTGACAAGATGCTCTGGGGCTAGAAGCAGAGGCACAAGGCAATGGGGAGATACACTTAAAGCTGGGTGCAGAGTTCTTCATCTCTTATGGTCTCCAGCACAGCTGTGATGCATTGTGTCCTGGGGCATCTCCCCAAGTGCAGGCTCAGCTGTGCTTGGAGCTGGATGGTCAGGGTGCCTGCAGGGATCTGCCCTTGCTCTGCCTCTGTTTGCAAGGAGGTGATGAGCTGTTCTCCTAGCTAATTCCTTTTCTTCTTGGACCGACAGTCTAAATCATCCAGCGATAGCAAGAACCGTCACAAAAAGCCCAAGGACACCAAGCCCAAGGTGAAGAAGCTGAAATATCACCAGTACATCCCTCCGGACCAGAAGGCAGAGAAATCCCCTCCACCTATGGACTCTGCATATGCCAGACTCCTCCAGCAGCAGCAGCTCTTCCTGCAGCTCCAGATTCTCAGCCAGCAGCAGCAGCAGCAGCAACAACAGCAGCAGCAGCAGCAGCAGCACTTCAACTACCCAGGAATGCACCAAGCCCAACTAAAGTGAGTGGTAGTGTGCCAATAGCAGGAGTTAATGTCCCTCCAGGTATTCCTTTCATTTCCATGCCCGTTTGTGCCAGTGCAAAGGGGATAGACACATGCAATGAAACATGAAGGCCTGGGAGCACAGTATAGTCTCTTGCTTTGGACTCTGGTTGTGATGCCTGTGACCTACTAGTAGGTCCCAGTGATCTCCTCACAGTCCAAGCTGGTTCTTCTTGGGTTAGCAGTCCTTCAGGTCTCAAACAGGAAATGATAGACCCAAGGGAGGAGAGAGGTGGTATATGGCACTGGGCACAGAGACCTCAGGGAGCAGACAAGTCACATCAGATTTTCTTTCTTGTTTCAGGCAATCAAATGAGCAAATGGTCAAAAATTCAAATTCTTCATCATCTTCTGTTAACAACACCCCTCTTTCTCCAGTGAAAACCACCTTTTCAGGCCAGAGTTGTGTCTCATCTGTCAAGCCAGGTCCTCTGCCATCTAACCTGGATGATCTGAAAGTGAGTACAAACTTTGTCACTATGAGAGCAGAGTCTTACAGCCTGAATGTGCCTTGCTATCTTCTAAGCATGCTGGGTAATGCTGCAGGGTGAGCTGGCTGGGAATGGTCATTTGTTACAGAACAGCAAACCAGAGCCACTGGACTGCATGCAGGCCCAGGAGAACAGTCATACTGGGTCAAGATTCAGTCAATGCAATGTTAATTGAAAACACTGGCTTGCTACTCTGCAGGTGTTGCATGGGTGCATTGCTCCGAGGCAGATCTCAGGCAGTCCTAAAGTGTAGCTCTTGAGATGGCTGCAGGCATCATAGGATGGTTTTCCTGGTAGGAATGCTCAGGTTCCTGAAGGATGTGCAGCAGCTAGTGCTGTGCAAAATGGCCCTGGCAACTGCAGCTGAGACAGTGAGTATCTGTGGACTCAGAGCATTAAAGCAGGAGGCTGGAAACCCCTGTGATCTGAGACCCCTTGTTATAAATGTCAGGTGCCTCTCCTGCTAGGAGGGGAGGTGAGAAGTGCCAGCAACCTGAGGGCTTGTCTGCGAGGGGAAGCGTTAGGAGTGATGATCAGTGACTTTCCTTCTAGGTGTCAGAACTGAGGCAGCAGTTGCGAATAAGAGGCCTGCCTGTATCCGGTACCAAAACAGCATTAATGGAACGGCTGCGGCCCTTCCAAGAGTGCAGCAACAGCGCAGTACCCAGTTTCAGTGAGATAACAACTGTCACCTTCCCAGTCACTCCAACGAGCACCTTGTCAAGTTACCAGTCGCAGTCCTCCACCAGCATGTTATCAAACGGCTTCTACCACTTTGGCAGCACAAGCTCCACCCCACCCATCTCCCCAGCCTCCTCTGACCTCTCTGTGAGTGGCTCTTTGCCAGACACATTCAACGATGGGCCCATGTCTTCCCCACAGTTTGGTCTGCAGCCATCCCCGGTTCACGGCAGCGCTGAAGAAAGCCTCATGAGCAGCATGAATGGAGGGAGCATTCAGCTGGAGCTGGAAGGGATTGACACGGAGAAAGACAAGATGCTGGTGGAGAAGCAGAAGGTCATTAATGAACTGACATGGAAGCTGCAGCAAGAGCAGAGGCAGGTTGAAGAGTTACGGATGCAGCTCCAGAAAAGAAAGAGAAGCAATGGCCTTGAGGATAAGCAACAGTCCTCTCAGCATTTCTTTGGGGTTCCCATCAAGCAAGAAAACACAGTGTCCAGCTGCCCATTTGCATCCAAACAAACTGCCTTGAAGGGCCAAGCCAGCAGCTCGGATAAGTTAAGTAACTGTGGGGTGCCGCAGCTGCCTCACATTGTAAATAGCCACTGCTTGGAGCCTGCAGGCCAGAGCACCATCACCTCCTCGACATTCCTTAGCCCGCAGTGCTCCCCCCAGCACTCTCCACTCGGGGCTGCAAAAAGCCCCCAGCACATCAGCCTGCCACCGTCCCCTAACAGCCACTATCTCCTCTCGGTGTCCCCCAGCTCCCAGGCAGAAGGGCGCAGCGGGTCCCCGCAGAGCAGCAATTGCCTTCGCACGGCATCGGTAAGTGGAGGGTGCCTCAGCTGGCATCCTGCTGGAGAATGTGGTTTTGTTTGCGGGCATTTAATGGAACCTGCCCGAGCATCCTGGTCGGATTGATACTGCTGCCATCCAGGGAGTTGTGGGAACATCTGGGAAAGGTAGAGAGTAACTCTGATGGAGGGTGGTGGCACTGTAGACTCCTCTCCAGGACATCTCCCAGGAAACTCTGCTGCCACCACAGCCAGGTGGCTTAGGGGGACCACAACACAGCTCCTTCTGCCCCACAGAGCCCTGGCACAGCTTCATCTGCTCTGAAGAGGCTGCAGCACATCACCTTAAGCCTCATGGAGCACTGGCACAGCTCCTTCTCCCCCAGAGGAGCCTTGGCATAGCTCCCTCTTCCCCAGGGGATCCCAGCACAGCTCTCCCAGCCCCAGGCAAGCACTGGCCCAGCTCTGTGTGCCCTTGGGGGAGCCCTGGCACAGTTCCTTCTTCCCAGGGGTCCTGGCACAGTTCTCCCTACCCCAGGGCGAGCACTGGCACAGCTCTTTCTGCTCTGGGGGAGTCCTGGCACAACTGCCTTTGCCCTGGAGGGGTCTGACACAGCTCCCTCTGTCCTTGGGAGAGCTGGCGCAGCTCCCTCTGCCCAAAAGGGTCCTTGCCTGGCTCCTTCTCATGGGAGGAAGGCCATGGCATAACTCCCTCAGCCCCATAGAGCCCTGGTATCACTCTGTATGCCCCTAGGAGAGCCCTGGCACAGTAGTATAGGACTGAGCCATTGCTGATCCTAGCAGCGTGAGAGGGATTTGACCACTGGATTGGAGGCGTGCAATTAGCCCACTCTGTTGGGAGGCATCTTCTTGAGAAGACCAAGCAGACCTGCCACTGAGGTGTGCAGTCATGGGAGAGCTTGTGGCACCATTGACACAGGCTACCAAGTTAGCATCAGAGAGTTGTCCCTTCAGCACCCACCACTCCTTACTCACCAGCTGGACTGGTGTGAAATCCGGCAGATCCGCAGAAGCAGCCACAGGAGGAGCAGCCCAAGGCACCCAGTCCCTCCCTGCACCGGATATTCGTCCTGCCAGAGCTTCCTGGGCAGCAGGAGAACCCACCATGCCCCATGTAACGCAGCCCTTGCGTGGCGCACGGCGCCGTGCTGGGTGGTGCAGTGCAGTGCCACAGCGCTGGGGTAGATGGTGAGAAGCAGCGTTGCCTCCAAGCGGCTCGGGGACAGTGATGCGGGTGAGAGAGGCAGCTGGGCACTCTGCTGTCACGCAGGACTCTGCTTTGGGGTGATACACCGGAGAGGCAGTGAGGCAGCTCTCCCTCTTACTCTGCACATTCACCAGTCCCCTGTGAGGGATGATGTCTATGGCCAGGTCTCAGGCAATGACCAGAGGTCAACGTAGCCCTGGACCTCACTCATTTCCTCAGAACTAACTAAAGGCACTAGTTTACCTACCTTTCTCCTGCCCGGATGCCTGGCACCTGCCCTGTTTCATCTAATTTGACCTATAACACCCTTCATTTCTCCCAAGTCACTCTGGTTTCAATTGGGGTGAAAGAGAACTGGGCCTTTGACAGTGCCAAAAGGAGCATGACCTTTTCCCTGTGCATTGATTCCATTTCCCTATATTTCCCCCACGCAGATGGCTACGCAGGCAGGTCAAAAGTTTTCTATTCCATCCCCAAGTTTTTGTAAGTCAAGCCCAGCCCTCTCAGAGGTAAAGCAGCCTCCACCCTATGAGGATGCAGTGAAGCAGGTAACTGCATGATTTTTTTTTTCTACAGGAGTAGGGCAGGGTGTTCTTTTACAGTTAGTGTAACCATCAGCTGCAGGAGTAACAATCCGTGCTGTTGCCTCTGTATGAGACAAGCCTATTCCCATGGGTAAAAGGGGAGTCCATAAAATCTCCTGGGAGGTGAGCAGTAAAATCTGAGTCTATAAAATCTCCTGGGATGGGCTTTCCCTGAAGTGTTATTTGCTAAATACAGTCTCTGCAAAGCAGTGAGATACAATGCTGTGTGTGATGTCTGCAGTGCCAGCCCACCCTGGGAACGTGACATCCCACACAAATGTCCAGAAACTTTGTGGGGGCTCCTCTTTGGGGGAGCTATGTGAGAAACAGACCCTTGGGCATCCCAAAAGGTTAGTCACTGGGAAACCTAACCTCTCTTTAGCCCAGGAGCAGAGTGCCCTTGAGGAGCAAACTGCCTTTGCTGCATGCCCTCTGCCTCCCTTAGCCCTCTTCTGGAGTGTTGTTCCCATGGAGAGGACTATTGCCATCACCCAGGAACCCCTTTCCTTCTTGAAAGTCTGTGGCAGCCTCAGTGCCGGTTGTGACGGTGCCTTTAGGAAAGCAGAGTGATGCCACTGGCGGTGGTAAGGAGTGGCTCATGTGAGCGGGCAGGGAGCACAGGGAAGTCCTCCCAGGCTCGTGTCCGAGGGTGCTGCCCCAGCACTGCCCCCGGTGAGCCGCAGGGCACGCGGGCAGGCACGCGCCAAAGCTGGGGGCCGGGCCCAGAAACTCTGCGTGTCCAGGAGCTCTGAGGTGGCTGCAGGGAGGGGGCAGCGCGGCGCCGTCTCTCCACATCCACCTCCCGTGTCCCAGGGCTCTGGCGCTCACCTGAGCGCCGCTGCTGCCCTGTGTCACCATCTTCCATGCAAGGGAGGAAGCCCTTTGTGAGCTCTAGAGCCGCCCGCCTGGCTCGTGGCCAGAGGGACCTTCCTCCTAACACGCTCTACTCTCCTCTTTGCCGTTTGCTGCAGCAGATGACACGAAGTCAGCAGATGGACGAACTCCTGGACGTGCTCATTGAGAGCGGAGGTACGCACTGCTTCTCTGTTCCCCTCCAAGCGAGCGCAGGCCACATGGCCCCGCAGCTGCCGGGGTGCCCCGGTGGAAGTGCCCAGGTTGAACCCCGCGGTCATCTGCCGTCCTTTCTGTTTCAGTGGAGGGCTACGGGCTTGGGTGTACTGCCTATGCCAACTGCTCAGGGAGAAAGAGCTGCAAGGCCAGTGCCCACCCCCACGCAGAGCCACCAGGGTCCTTCCCCAGGGTCTTCTGCCATTCCCAGTGCTGCCAGTGCCCTCCCCAGTGCAAAGTGCTGCCAGTGCCCTCATGCACAGCCTTAGCCACGTGCTTCCCTGTGTGATCAACTGCCAGTGCTCATGCCCTGGGGACTGGACACAAACCCGGGGAAGTCAAGATGCCAGGAAAAGGGCATTTGTCAGGATTCCCACAGGGTGAGCGACACAAGAGGGACTCGCTCAGGAGTGGGCCCAGCCCAAACGTGCAGCTCGGGGGCCTTGGCAGGGCCGCGGTGGCGAGCGCTGCCTGAGCACCTCAACCACCTTTTGTTTGTTGTACAGAAATGCCAGCCAACGCCAAGGAAGATCGTTCCTGCCTCCAGAAAGTACCTCAGATAACCGTGTCGACAGGGAACTCCAGCGCTTCGCTCCCCAAATCATCGGCCCCCTTTGAACAGGTCTCCTCAGCGCAGCTCTCATACGAGCACTGTCCCGGCAGCAGCGACACTCACCTTGAAGTCTTACTGAACGCTCACAGCCCGCTGGGGAGAGTCGGGGAAATTGCCCTGCTGAAGATGGGAGGAGAAGAGTCCCACTTCGAAGGGATGATAGAGGGGTTCTCTGGCAAAGCCACAGATGAACTGCTCACCTCCCAGGAGATTTTACAGACTCCCCTCTCGCCCATGGAAACCCAGCTCTCCCCTTCCCCTGCTGACGGCCCTGGTTTACAAATGAGTTTCACTGAATCTCCATGGGAAACAATGGAATGGCTGGATCTAACTCCTCCCAGCTCTGCCACGGGCTTTGGCTCTCTCACCCCTGCAGGTCCCAGCATCTTCAACATTGATTTCTTAGATGTTACTGATCTTAATCTAAACACCAGCATGGACCTTCACCTGCAGCAGTGGTGAAAGGGAGGGTGGTGGAAGCAGGATACTGTACACCCACAGCAGCCAGCACAGTGTTTCCATCATACCAGAGAACCCACAGGGCTAATGTGTCACAGTCAGGAGAAACTGGAGTCATTTTCCCAGCATATAGACTTGTTCCAACTTCCAGGTACTGAGAACTGACAACACAATAGCTCTGGTACTTTGGTTTTCCTCCATCTACACATCCTCACAGAGGGTGCCAGTGCCTTTAAGAACACTTTTCTAGACTGACAATTTTCTAGAAATTCCATTTTGTTTCTTCTGTCTTTTTTTCTCCCTCCCCCAGTTTCAGGAGTCACTGGAGCAGCTCATGACAAAACTGTGGGGTGAGGAGAGCTACAGGAATCCTCCAGAGGAGGGCCCATTGCTACCCCACTCCCTGCTGCCCTCCTGCCCCGCTCGGCCGTACCGCAGGGTGCATCCCAGGAGGGGCAGGAGCGGGGAGGCCGGGCACGCTGCACTGCCAGGCCTGCCTGGCTCCCTCCTCCTGCCCAAGGGGCTCGAGGCCACGCTGTCCCCGTCCCTGCAGAGCTCCGGCTGGTCGAGAGAGGGAGTCTGTCATGTGCGTGGTGGCACTCGCTGATGTGCACACACTGCTCGGTGGGATGCAAGCCAGGGAGCAGTCCCAGCTGCGGTCTGAACTCAATCAGGCTGATGCCTGCGACGTCGAAAGAGAGAGCTCTGGATGTGGAAGGCCCAGGCTGCAGGCGCACGTGTTGAAAGGAAGGGCGTTCGGGTGGAGCGGCCGTGTCCCCGCTCGCGTGGTACGGATGGGTAATGTGGTTTGGCCCGAGTTGAGGAGCAAGTTGTTTAGGAAATGCTGCAAAGCTTTGTAGGGACCATCTGCGTGGCTGGAAGGAACAGCGGATTGCGGCCACCCTGCCTGACCTGGGTGCCAGGGGAGCCAGAAATAACAGCTCAGCAACCTGCGCGTGTGACAGGGCTGAGCGGGTCCTTGTGCGGCCACAGTTCTGTATGAGCATCCGCTGTCATGTTCTGCACTCCTCCGCACCCATTCCTTCTTCCTCCCCGCTAGTCTCCCTCATTCCCCAGTAGATTCTCCTCTTTTTGACTATACTCCCGCATCACTGGTCGCTCAGCTCAGAGCCAGGCCATCCAGAGAACAGCTGTGAATCACTGAGCCTAGAGGAGCTTGTTCTTCTGAAGCCCGTGGAGATGGATGCTCTCCTGCAGTGATGCTTCCAGTTTGAAGTCACCAGCATTTCTCCTACGAGGCTCTGTGCAATATCCTTCCTCAGGCGCGAGTGAGAAGGAGCCTTCGCTTCACTTCTTGGCTTCCACCAAAGAACTTGCTGCAGACTCTTTGACGGACACGTCAACTTCTTTGCAATTCCGGTTTTGCCAAAGTAAATATTGTTGCTGACAAAGATTGTTAAACTATTTACAGACTGAGTGTATTTAATATTTGTGTTACTGGAAGGACAGCACGTGGGAGGTGCAGCAGCTGTCGAGGCCCTGCACGAGGGGCCTGCGGGCAGCCCGGCCAGCAGCCCCGGGGGCTGCTCCGCTCCAAGGGCTGCCGGAGCCGGCAGGGAGCTCCGCAGCCCTCGCGGTGTCTCCCGGTCCTGGCGTTGTTGCATGCTGTATAAAGAACATGGCAATAGCTTTTAAGTCACTATTTAAAGCACCACTTTTCTATTGTACAAACGGTCACAGGGCACTGCTAGGATAGATAATCACCGGTTGCATTTTTTGTGTTTTTTTTTTTTAAAAAAAAAAAGGAATTTCTTTTTGTAAGTGAGAGATTTTTAGAGCCGTTTCATGGAGAATAATAGCACTTGATTCAGAGTAGTGTTAGCAGCTACACTGCATAATTGTACAGGGCTTTCCAGGTAATTTTCTCCTTTCAACAAATGTATTTCCTTATTTAAAGGGATGCTGTCAGCTTCAAACTTGTAAGCAAGCACATTTCTTTACCTATGTTACCAGCAACACCTTCATTATTAAAAAAACCCTTTGTCTTGCCACTCGTCTGCTCGTGATTTGCCGTTTGATTTCACTCGTCTGCAACAGCAACAATTCCAGTGCAGTCATTTGGTTTTAATTCCATTCCCTGAGGCAGTTACAGTCCTTGCAAGAGCATAGGACTTTCTTTCAAAGCAAGTTTTTTTTTTTCCTGGAAGGTTTCTAAACAAGCTAGCTGGAGTCTCCTGCTTCTCCTTCTGCTGGCTTTGGTTTCACTTTCTTCTTTAACAAATTCTGCTCTTTGGGGCTGCATCTCTTTCAAGAGCGGACTGGAGATACCTCAGTGCGTTCGTGCCCTGGCCCGGGCCGCCCTGGCCAAGGGCAGCGCCGCAGGGCACGGGCAGCGCTCGCTGCCAGCTCCCACCACAGCAGCAACCAGCAAAACCAGGCTGCAGGGGCACCCCAGCTTCACGTGTACAACCCCTGGGCACGAGCGCACACTCGGAAGCATAAATGTGCGCACGCAAAACCCATCTGCTCATTCCATACAACCCGACAAGCAAATACAGCTACTCCAGGTTGAGTAGATGGCCTTTCTGTCCACGCTTTCACCCCTTACACTTCCAGAGCTTGCACGTGATTTGGGGCAAGTTAGCAGAGCTAAACTTCAGCCAAATAGCTCTGATTTTATTCTCCAGTACAATAGTGGCACTGTGTGTTTCCAGAAGAGGGAGTTTGTGCTTCAGTGTTTGCATAACTTCGAACATAACGGGAAATTCAAGAGCTGCTTTTTTCTCCTGTTCCCTGGAACAGCCATTCCTTCTTTTCTCGGTTCCCTCATCCATTCAAAGCAATGGCAGCCTCTGTGATTCTTATCAGATGTCACAGCAAGGCTGGAGATTTTTTCCTAAGTGGTGAATCGAGGCCTCACTTCATTGACGCTCACAGGAGAGAAGAGTTTGAAGGCTAAAGGAAACCAAGCAAAAGATGAGTGGAACTATAGAAAACACAACTCAAAATGTTCCCTGTAGGAAGAGGTGATGGTGCACGTGCTCATTCATGCTGTTGGGGTCCATTCCATACCCAAGCTCATCAAAACCTCAGAGCTGGTCTTGGAGCCCCATAGACAAATGATAACCAAAACAGAGCTTAGCAGAGTGTATTTTCTGGATGCTAACTAACGCTTGGTGATGATCTGAAATTAGGGTATGGTTCTGAGGTCAGTGAACCCTTTGCTGAATAGTATCACAGTAAATTGCAGTAAAAGTGTAAAAAGCTTCAGAACATGGAAAAGAGGATTTCAGATCCCTGCTTTGCCCTCCTGAATTACGGGAACAGCTATGCTAAAAGAGATTCTGTCAAGAAATGGGCTGCTGTTCAAGAGAAAACCTGGAGTCAGGCTACCTGACTGTTCACATAAAATACAGTGATATAATAAATTGTCACAAACTCTGAGGAGAGGGAAGTTCTGGGGATGAAGCAGCCGGTGGAGGCCTCAGTCTTACATTACACTGGGGAATGGGGTCGTGCCAGTATGTTGCTACTTGCTGAACTGATGCTGGAGCGAGTGTGTGAACCCCTATAGTCTGCTTTAGCTTCAGGCAGAGACATGAAGGGCCTGTCTCAGCAGACTTCACAGCAACTGATTCTGTCAAAGTCATCCAGAGAAAGTGAAATAGAAGTGATATCTTGGTAGGGACATGGTCTTTTTTCCCACAGGAGGTCTTCCAAAGCTAGAGTTGAAAAAAAAAAGCCATCTATGCTTATTCATAAAATGTGTGTCTGAATAGTCAACACATACTGGTCAGGTATGTGTCCTAGCTGAGGCAGTAGAAGCACATGGGATGTGGCTTGAAAGATTGATATATAACCCTCAGCTCTAGAGTTGAAAAAAGCCATCTATGCTTATTCATAAAAATGAATGCCTGAATAGTCAACACATACTGGTCAGGTATGTGTCCTAGCTGAGGCAGTAGAAGCACATGGGATGTGGCTTGAAAGATTGATGTATAACCCTCAGCAGTGGCACAATGACAGCAGGAGTCCTCGGTAAAGTCTATAAAAGTTCAAATGGGCAAGGAAAAAGTCTTCAAGAAGAGAGCCTGAGCATCAGGTCAATGGGATAGTTGAACTGAAATAACCAGAAGTAACAGTTCCTTTTACATGTCACACAATGA